AAAGCCTCACTGTCTTCAGGTGTTCGGTTCATGTATATTCTGCCAGAGCAACCTTCCTCCCCTACTGCAGGCTGGATGGGGTCTTTGGTGATCAGGTAAAGCCATGTGGCCCTCGCTTCTCTATTGCTCTTGGATGGGCAAGAGGCAGAGTAGCATCAACACAGACCAGGTAGCAACTCCTGTGTTCTTTCTGGAAAAATCTAAATGTCTAAAAGAAAATACAAGCTATTCCATAACTCATATTGTAAAATATTATGCAGTCCTAAAATTATTTCCAAAGACTGTTTAATGACCTTAAAAATGGTCATAAAATACATACCAGGCATGTTCACAAGTACTCAGCGTTGAACGAGCTGAAGCACTGGATAAAGGAATCACAATGTGATTGGACTATGTGAAGAAATTTCCATCTTTTTCCCTCTATTTCTCTTGTGCACATTCTCTATCATGAATAAAGAAAAAACGTATCAAAATAAATTAATTTTTAAGAAATAAAAATGTTTGGGGCAGCAGGTGTTGTGGTTGTTAAGGCACTGGATCCCACAGTTCAATTCCCAGATTCAGCAGCATGAAAATCGCACCAGGCACATGTGTGCTTAGGCCCCAAATCCCAAGAGGATGATGGAGAGGAACGGATTGTGATATGGCCATCTCTAGGGAGTGATTTTTCATTTCCTTCTCTCTCTCTCTTTCCCCTCTCTCTCCCCCCTCTCTCTCTACCCCTTTCTCTCTCCCCGCTCCTTCCAATGAATACGTATGCCCTATAGTAGATAACTAAAGAAAAAGTTAGAAAAAAAAGTTCATAATAAAATTAAATTGAAAGGGCCAGCAGGTGGCATGATCGTTAAGGCACTGGATTCCCACATAGCTGACCACAGTTCTAGTCCTGGAACCAGCTGCTTGAAAATCACATCAGGTACATGTACGTGTTTGCCTAAAATCCCAAGAGGAAGATGAGAGGGGATTGCAGTGTGCTCATCCCCCTCAGGAGATGATGTCTTACTTTCCCTCTGTCTCTCTGTCTCTTTCTGATGAGCACACGTGCCCTCTGGGGGAAGGAACACTTGAAAAAAGCAGAGCAGAAAATTAGAGTATTCCCATTTTGATTAAAAACATTTATACACAAAGACTTGAAAATATGCTAAATTATTAATGACTATCTGTGGGTAATGTGATTTTAGATAATTTTTATTTGATTCTTTATACTTCTCTGTATTTCTAAATTTTTCTTTAATAAGTTTATCTACTTCTTTTAGACTAAAAGAGACTATAAAAATCTCAGGTTTAAATATTTGTATTAAGTAATACTCCTTATATAAGGATAAGAAAATACAGGTTGAGTACCCGTAACCCAAAAATCCAGAATCTGAAGTACTCCAAAATCAAATCTTTTGAGCACCAACATGATGCCATAGGTGGAAAATTCCACACCTGACCTCACATGATGAGCTGCAGTAAAAATACTCCAATACAAAAACATTGTATAAAGTGACCTTCAGGCTATGTTTATAAGGTGTATACTAAACATAAATGAATATCATATTTAAAATTGGGACCTGAATCTAAATGACTTTTTTATGTATATGCAAATATTCAAAAATCTCCAAAAATATGAAATCTGGAACACAGTCCCAAGCATTTTGGATAAGAGATACTCAGCCTATAGTCAAAGAAGCATAAAGATTCATGTTCTACTACATTTGTTGAATTGCTTTTAGTATTAGCCAAAAAAAAAAAAATTGAAAATGTCTAAGTGGCCAATAATGGAGAATAGAAATTATGGTGTATCTGTCGGTTGGGCCTGTGGCCTAGTACTGAAGGAACTGAATCCCAATGGCCACCTGCATGACTCTAGCTAGCCCTGAGCCCAGAGACTTGAAAAACATGCTAGGTGCCTGTGTGTGCCTGCCCAATTTCCCCACAGGATGTAGAAGAATGGAGAAGAGACTGCAGTGTGACCACTTCCCTGTGGGGAGTGCTTTCCCCTCTCTCTCTCTGATGAGCACATGTGCCCTCTGGCAAATTATGAAAGAATTTGGTACATCCATATTATGCAGTCAATAAATGTTTTCAAAGCATGAAATATAGAAAAATGGGTATAATAAGGAAGAAAGTGAATTGTGTATAGTATGGTTTTATTATACTTTTTAAAAGTGAAAGGTTGAAGATGGTCAAAATGTTAGTAAATTATGGATGATATTTATTTTAGCTTTTCTCCTCTTTATGTTTTCTGAATTATCTATACTGATAATGCATTACTTTATGATATATATTTTTTGAGAGATTTTTCGCTATAGGGTGCATACATTCACCAGAGAGACGGAGACAGAGAAACAGAAAGGAAGAATTCATCCCTTAGGAGGGATGACCACACCACAGTCCCTTCTCCAGACTCTTCTCGGGGTTTTGGGCATACACGCACACACACACCCAGTGTGAGTTTCAAGCTGTCAGGTCTGGGACTCGAACCATGGTGAACCACATGGGAATCCAGCACCTTAACCACTATGCCACCTGTTGCTCCTAATACATTATAACAGAAAACATTTATTTAAATATTTTGCAAAAAAGTAAAGTTGAGGTAGAAAACAATGGATGTTTAAGGAGAGAAGAAGAGATCTGGAATCACTGCTAGGGGAATTTTGCTAAGGAGTTAATAAAAAGTAAAGGATTTTTTTAAGTTAACTTTTTTTAAAGAATTATTCTATTTAACTTTATTTATTTAAATTTGACCAGAGAAGGGCAGAGTGAGACAGAGGGAAAGTTAGAAAGCAAGCCACCAGGTCTGGAACTCAAACCACAGCTGGTTCTAGCACCCTTAACCACTATGCCACCTGCCAGCCCCCTAAAGTAAATTTTTATATAATGGGGCAAGCCTAGTTAGTTGCACGTCCCCCAGCAGTGCTCAGTAGTCTGATAGCAAAATTGAGAGAAGAACTTGTACTCATCTCAGATCGGGAGTGCTTGGCAAAAGTTCTGAACATCTGTGTTGCTGATCTACTTCCATCATTAATGTGAAACTATATCGTTTTTGTTTTTTATTTATTTTTTTATTGCCAGTGGGCAAGAGAGAAAAAGAGAACCTTCCAGTGGAGTATGGTCATGGTATAATCCCCTTCATCCCTTTCTCCCTCCCATCAGGATCACATGCAGACATGGTTGGCATGTTTTTTCAAGCTTCTGAGACTGGGACTCAACTGTGATCACCCATGTGCAATCTAGCTTCATATGCACAGTGCTTAAGCACTCTACCATGGGACTGGCTCAAAACATTTTTTTTATAAACCACAAAGTTTTAAATAGATAGTAATAGTGGTATTTCTTAAACTATTCCTATAGCCACTTTCCTAATTCAAACCTTCATTCTTCTCAAACATACTGACTTTTCTGCCCACCTCTGCTCTTTCTCCAAACCATCTTACTCATGGCCCAGAGTTCTCTTTTTAACACTTTTTTTTTCCCTTTTCAGAAACCTCCGTTGGCTCTCCAATGCCTTTAGAAAGTATGAACTATAAAGCCACAAATTTGATACCTTTATCATATGGTCTCAAAGTACCTTTCTACTCTTATTCCTTCGTATCTTTCCATATTCTTCTGTCACTCTTCATCCTAGCTTCCCTTCCCAAAATACACAAGGCTTAGCTAACAATTTGTAGTTTTCATCATGCTACACCTCCTCTAAAACAGTTGAGGGACAAAGTCGGGACTTAGAAAACTTGTATTCTTGCTGTTGGTCTTGCTGTTCACAGGCGGCTGTGTGACCTTTAATAAGTTATTTTAACTTCTTTGAATCACAATTTTTTTCCCCTAATTTCTTCACTTTCAGAATATTAATAACTACCTCACAGAATTGTTAGGATTCATTCAGGTAATGGATACAAAAGTGTGTTGTAGCTAAATACACGACACACGTGTGGCAGTGTTTTTCTACCTACCTCTGTCAGGGTGCTCTTAATTTGAAATAACAGAAACCCAACTGAAAATGGCTTAAACAATGAGGAAGCAAGCCTGGAGGTAAGGCAGTTTTAGATTGATTAATTCAGTGGCTCAGTAGTGTCATCAGGGACACAAGATCCGACCATCTTCCTGCTTTTGTTCTTTGGGCTTGTTCCCCCCATGTTCCTAAGATGACCGTTGTAGTCTTTAGGTGTCACATACAAAGAACAATGTTCAGATACAGGAAAGGGAAAGGTCCCTTTAGTATGTATGCCCCTTTTTTTAAGACTAAAGAAATTCTCTAGAAGCTTCCTTTACCTCCCATTCCCCATCCCATAAACTCTCACATCCAATTGATGAAAATTACAGCACATGCCCGTGCCTAAACCAGTCACCACTGGAAAGGGGAATCAGCTAATCTTAATTAGTTCAGACCACTTATGATTCATCCTCTGGTGCTGGCTTCCACTTCTAAAGGAACAAATGTTCAGAAATGACAAAGTTGGGGGTGGGCCCTGTTAGGGAGGGAAAAGAATATGATAGCATGATGTCTTCAGAGGTGATCCTGTTTTATTGGGACAAAGAAATGAAAAGGCAAGATGGTGCAAAGTAGATCAGCATGGAAGAGCTTGCTTTTGTCTTTTTTTTTGGGGGGGGGGGGAGGGGGTTTTGTTTTGTTAAAAGGGCCT